TATATATATATATATAAATTAATTTCACTTTATTCGATCTAAACACCATGAAATTGGTCTCTTCAACAACCTCCTACCATTTCTGATACTCCCACTTCAGCACATATTCACAACAATGCCTCAGGGGAGGGGTGCTGTGTGGGGCGGGACCTCGGCTGCAGACTGAACTCCAGGGAGGAGCTATGTACAAATGGGTGGTGCTTTGTACCAACAAGTGTTTATGCAGCTCCACGTGGCTACCATGGGATATTCAAGGATTTCTCAAACATGTATGAATGAGTTAAAACAACACTCTGGATATGTTTTTGATGAGGGACTGACACAATTTAAAGAAAAAAAAACCCCCGTCAATTTTGCATAATACCCCACCACCAACAACTTCAGAAGAAGTTGAGAAGAGTTTTGGAGCTCATTTTTAATATGTTAAATATGCAGCAATATATCAATGTGACAATGAATGAGTTATAGTAATATTCATATTTTGATTCTTGTACAGTTTCTTGAGAAAACTGAATCTAATGCTTTATGAGAACATGAGAAACCAGACTTATTATAAGGAACCACTTTTACAGCTACAGCAAAGCTCATCATCTAATTAACTAAATGGTCCAATGTCCTGACTTCTGCAACAAACAGCATATTCAGGTTTCTGTAAGATGCTTGTTTGAGCAGCAAATGATCAAAATACTTTTAAAAAATCGAATCATAACCAGGGTATTAAAGGACATCGATAATGCTCCTTTCTCCTTATAACTAAAGAAAACAGGTTCCTTTTATATCAGTATGAGTTGACAGAATGTCAGCATGGCCTGAAAATGTGTTTTTAGTTTAAACCAGGCAGCAGACATGACCAAAGATTGTTTTTTTTTTAATTTTTTTATTTATTTTTTGTCTGGAAATACATCAAAATAGGAATAAGTTGAAAATTTAAAGATACACATTTATACAGTCTATGTGGTTTCTGTTTAAAGTTGCAGACATTTTGAGCTTAAAGTTTGAGTTATTATAAAAAGACACACATCCATCCATCCATCCATCCATCCATCCATCCATCCATCCATGCATGCATGCATGCATCCATCCATCCATCCATCCATCCATGCATGCATGCATGCATCCATCCATCCATCCATCCATGCATCCATCCATCCATCCATCCATCCATCCATCCATCCATCCATCCATCCATCCATCCATCCATCTCTACCAATTGAGCCACCGTGCCGCCTATATAAATAATATGAAAAGACCAAACAAACTATTTTAGCTGAGATTTTATTTAAAGTAAAGATCTCTCACTGTGTACTAATGGATGTCTTTAAGTTTCCAGTTTTTCTTCTAATATTTCCACATCTGGCACATTAACCACACCTCTGTCGCCTCTCACTACAGCAGCATCCAGAGAGATTTCAGCCCAGTTTGAGCAGGAAATATTTTCCTCTTCTTTCATTTAGCACTGCATTCCAAATCTGAAGACTCTCCTTTCCATCTTGCCTTTATTCATCTCTCCTTTCACCACAAAGGATCCGGCATCACTACAGGGTTACTATAGTAACTGTGTTCATCCGGCCTAATAGGTACTCTTTAAACTGACATGTTGGCCATTATCAAAACTACAATCTTATATTGTTTTGAGGGAAACTGTGGACTCTATTTCAGAGACGCCGCCTCATTAACTTCACGTGACGAGATGAAGACAGTTTGAACATGAGCTGTTTTACAATTAGAAGTTCAGGTTAAAGGACAAACGAGTTCAGGTTTTGGTTCTAAAATGTGCTAAATAATAATAAAAAACTATACTGTTAATGTTATACTGTGGCCAGGACACCAATAAACCAGCCAGCCAACCATTAAACCCTAATAATTCTGATTTACTGGCAGGTTAAATTAAACGTCAGGCAGTGTGAGGCACTCAATGCCAGACGTGATTTATGCCGAAGCTGGGTTGCCGTAGCAACCGGCTTTGCCAGACAATAATCATATGTTGTTCACATGAAGCCATGCACTGTATTTTGCCATTAGTCTGAAGACCTAAATTATTTTAAAATCTCCTACTTCTTTTTTAAACACGATGTTGTAACACGAAGCCAAAATGAAATGTCAGTAAAATGTGTTGAAGAGTCTTATTTCCAACGTGTGGAGCTTTGAATCCAACAGATTAGAGGTAATTACAGATTTTATAGAGACAAAATGTACAGCACAAATGCAAACATCCTGCAACACCTCAAAAAATTTGGATGACTTTTTAATTTCTGCTGAACTGCTACAAATATTTCCTGTAAATATGGATGGATGCCCCTGGTACCGGGGGCGAAACAGCTTTTTCTGTTTTCTATTTATTTTAACTATTTTTTAACTTAAGACCTGTCAGTTGAACCTGGACATGTTTGATATCAAAAGAAAGCTAAGAATTTTTGCTAAAATCTCATTGGACCTCATGCAAGAACATGTTCGTATTCTTCTCCTAAATTTCTCTTACTTTTGTTCGTACAAAGGGTTCGTACGAACATGTCACGTCAGATTCAACAAACGCTTCTATCTTCAGGAAACATGTGTAAATGAGCTGCGTAATTTCCGCTTGTCCTATCCAGCTGCTCGTGCACGCAGAGGAGATTAGCATAATTACCACCCCAAAAACACCATACAGTATAAGGCTATGT